GTCCATTAGTCAGTAGGATTAGGTTGTAGGGCTTCCCTCTTGTAAACCCTATAAAATGGTGATTATACCGATGAATAAGGGATAGACTTTTCTGCTTCTCTTTTCTTGTTCTTTACTGCACATCTTTATGTTTGGTTGATTGATGGATGCTTGGTGAATATTGAGGACTCCAATTTACAACAATTATTTTTTTTTATTTAAAAATGAGAAAGAATTTTGACTTTTGTAAAACTGTAAGCATCATTCGAAATTTACCTAAATCAAATCTACAAAACCCATAAATTTAGGGTGCATATATAGTTGCTCGATTTCTTGGGAATAATTTAAAAAGAAAAATAAAAAAACTGATGAAAATAGAATGCAATAAATGCTGATTGACTTTTCTTGTTACTATTTTTAGTAAATATGTTCTCTCTTTATGTATGTATATATATATAAATATAGCAATAATGCTCCCATACCCACGGTGGGCACATGTTAATATGTCCACCGCTTATGTGTCATGCACACACTGGTTATGTATTTTTTTGAACCTATTAACATTAACATGTGCCCACCGTGGGTAAGGAAGCATTACTGATAGATATAGATGTCATATGGGTACTAACTACTAACCATTCACATATATAAGGTTATATGTAATGTTGTTTTTAAACTTTTTATTAGTTAAGTTTTAATTATAAGTAAGTATTACATCAAATAAAAGTGAAAAGAACATTAAATTAAATGCATTAAAAAAAATAGCCCTCACGAGTTGGTACGTGTTGTGTTACGCCTTTAAATTTTGAACAAAAAGTAGTAGTAGTACAAACACCAAACTGGAATTACCACTTGCTACCAGCTGGAAAACCAACACAACAAAATAAAATGCTCTCTCAGGTCCCCTTTTCATGCTGAAGCCGAAAACTTATACCTTTTAACACCATTATGCCAGACCAACAAGGTAATTAAATAAAATACATTTTTTAAATTATTTAATTTAATTAGGTAAAAAGAATGCGTGTCAACATTCAAAAGAGTACCGATTGTCATGTATGTACGAGGCGTACCCGACAGTAGAATACCCAATAGACATTAAGCATTATTGTACATGAAACCTAAGCCTAGTGGTATTTGAATCTCTTCAAGTGCGTGTGAGTTGGCGCTTTTGTGGGCTTGAGTTCAGAATTCCATGTCATGCTCCGGTTGAGCCTTGTGACAAAACTAATTTCAATTGTCGTATATTCCGAAACCTATCTCTTTTGGATTCGTCTCGACCATCCATGGAGCTCTATAAGTAGCCATCAAACAACAATCGAGTTAACAAGAGCTGCAAAATTTGGAGTAATGGAAAAACCAGGTGGCACTTAAATGCCAAAACATACTTATTCATGACGAAATTGAATGTTCCTTGGGCTGCACGACCAAGAAGAGTTTCTCTTGCGTTGACCGCGATACCTTGGGGCTGCATTTTTGGCATTGAAGTTCGAAACAAAGTTAAGAGGAGTCAAATTTTGTACAGTTTTGTGTTTATGTTCTCAATTTTTTAGCTCACATAACATTATTACCTCCTCTGGGAACCAAACTCCAGGTTGTGTGTTACCTTCCAGAATGGCCAAAGCAAATGCAGCCGTTGAAATTCCAACTGATCTGAAAAAAGAACATTAATCGGTACAAAGAAATACATTTGTCTGAAGCTCACAGTGTGGTCAGAAAGTATCATGAGGAATGTAAAAGAAAAAAAAAAAAACAATGACTAAAAACTTACACGGATAGTTTTTTGTGGCTGAATATTCCTAGCCTGGACCGCCCATCTGAAAAATCCAAATCGACCTGTTTGGTCGGGATGTTAAACAATTGTGCAAATCTTCGAGTAGAACTTGTTTAACTAATTTAAATTTAAAATTTAAAACAATCCGTCAAAATAATATCAAATATGCAGTAAAAGAAAGCGCGACATGAGAAGTGCTTGTACCCTCATTGACACCTTCTCACCAGCAAATCCATCAACTGCCCTGACTAACGGGTCGAACATTTGAACTAATTGTTGAACTTTACTTCGATCTCGTAAGGTTTCCTGTAAAATGTAACATACTAACAAAATCACATCCAAAATGGAGTACCGTAGCTCATAACAAGATGAGGTCAATTTCATTGCAAAACATCTTTAAGTAAATTGAGAATTGATCAAACCTAAATTAAACTATTCTGGAAAATACAAGATCATCCATTCAATCCTGAAGGTTGCATTCCCGTTGTTACCAAATAAGATAAACATTCAGGTTTCATATTTTAATTTCACGTACAGCCGGAAACAAATATGTCATGGCTGCCATTCCCCAGTTCCAGAAAAAAGGTGAAGTTCCGAACCGTGCACTGACAGTTGGGATTCCTAGGACTTCATGGATGCTCCTCACCTCAGGCAAATTCCTGGGAAAATAGATGAAGACGAAGAAAAAAAAAAACTTTGATTTACGCGGAGAAAGAAAAGTTCCTAACGAAGGTTGCCTTATAGTAGATTTAGCTTGAATCTAATGATCAGTATGCATCCAACAACCATGCTATCGTAGCAAATACAAAATAATATTTTTATAGGCATCTATGTTGTTTTTCTAACATCTAATATCGAGGGCATCCAACAAACTGTGTTCAAGTGTCATCTTTGTTAAATATTAGTAAATAGTAATGAAGAACTCCACATAACATTGATACCCAAAGATGACAAGCTCATGAAGTGTTGAACTGAACATACAGTTTACTGATTTATGCAGTGGCGAAAAGATGTAATAAGATTCAAATAAAAACAAAGACTCAATTATCAATTACTCTGTTACACGAGATCGCAGGTTACTAAATGCATCTCATTTGCAGGATCCTCCGAAAAGCTAGAGTATGAGAGCCATGCTTTATTACGAAAATTAAGTAAATAACAGCTGTTATCATATGAGTAACTTACAAGAGGAAAACATCCCTTTTCCCAATTCCTTGTCCAAAATCAATGCTGAGCATTCCACTATAAGGTTTCAGCTTAATTTTCTCTCCTGTCAAATACATTGCTCCCGATTAATATCGACAAGAGAAGATAATGGGCCAAAATGGTGGCGGTGAAAAGTAACATAGTATTGGTCAACCTTGACGATATGCAATGACTTCCTCCCCAAGAAGTAAAAAGCTAGTCGACAATATTGTCGGGCCAGCACCACCTGAGCCAGCAGTGTAATAATAGAACCTAATAATAAGAAAACATGTTTGTAGTTATAATTGCAGATGACTTTTGAGAAATATAAGAATAAAAGGAGATTGACAAATAAATTACCTCAGCCTCTTTGGTTCACCTTTGCCTTCACTTTTGGCTGCACGAACCAGCTCCGCTGCCATCACTGTGACAATATTAAATAAAAAGTTAATGCTTGAAACTGAATAATTGTCCCTCCGCCAATATATAAAACAAGATACAGCCGACACAGAGGATGACAATAATACATATAATGCCACACCACAATCATGTTAAAATCGAGACTTGGTCACACTCGCGTGTGTCGAATGCTGGGAAGAATTTGCAACCAAATTTACGCAAAATACAAATTTCATGACTCGTAGGTAACATCAGAGAGCACATTATGGGCAAAGTATGATTGGTCAATCTTCAGATTTTGATACAATTAATCATTAGGCAATGAAGTTTAAAAGAATCATACGACCACATAAAAGTAGTATACACAAAACACCACACTTACCTATCATTCAACTAAAACCAGATAAAATTTCAACTGTGATAAAAATAAATAATAATAAAAAAAAGCCCTTTAGAAATTCTTAAAATAGCTTTACAAGGATAATGCAACAGAACTGTTGCTCACTCCAGGAATGATCCCTCCAGTTGTTATAGCTGGAACATTTGCATCCATTGCCTTCTTCATGTACGATTTTGCACGCATTGCGAAATTTGTATCGTCACAGACATCGAGGTACGCTGTCTGTTTTTAACGGAAAACAATTAACATCACCCATAATGTCATGACAATAAATTAAGTAATCGTACAAGATAATGGTCCGAAAAGATTACACAACACATTCAAAACATATATATATATATATATATATATATATATATAAAATGAAAAAAATAACAAAGACCATTACCTGTTTCTCACCTTGTTCTGGATAGCGGCTTCAAGAACGTTGCACCCATTGGCCTGCTGAAATGGCCCGGCAGTATGAACCACGAGATCCACATCTAATGCATAGCCAAGTTTTGGAAATTATTGAAATTCTTTTGGTGATCCAACAAATAAAGAAAACAGGAAATCATTGGCAGTGTTACTTTGAAACCGAGTAACGATCATAAGAGTTACAGACCCTTTAGAGCTGCTTCCAGTGATTTACCGCCGTTGATGTCGACTTCTGAGAATTCAGAATTGTTGCCTAAATTGTTCACGGTGCTTGAATTCAGAATTGTTGCCTAAATTGTTCACCATTGCAGCACCTTTATCCCTGCTTGGTTGATTCAGTTACCAAATAATTGTAACATCATCAGCTACCAAATTATGTTACTAATCGAACACATGTTTGAAGTGCTATATATTAGAGACATTTTTTAAAGACACTAACAATGAATCCAAACACATAACACAGGAATATGCACGCATATGAACAGCAGCAGATTAGATACATTTTTTAAAGACACTAACAAAGGCAGGGCAAATAATCTCCATTAGCAAACGAACAAATGACGATCCGGAGATCGGGGCAGAATCTGGACAGGGCAAGGGCGGTAGAGCCTCCTACTCTTCCGGTTCCGCCGAGTATCAGAATCCGCGAATTCTTCACTTTTTCTGTCAGCTCAAGGTCGCCATGTTTGATTCTCTTTCTACTCTGGATGTGTTTTTCTTTTCCTTTTCCACCATGCAGCTTTATCAGTTTATCGCTAACAATGGCTATGTGGCTGTGGGCTTCTTTTGGACACTCACGCTGGTCGATAGGGACAAGAAATGATTAGAAAATTACTATAATTGGAAAACATAGAATCGATGTGTTTAAAACAAAACAATAAATAAATAAATAAATAAATAAATAAATAAATAAATTCCATATGTTGACATTTAGCACTGTCAAACGGGCCGGTCCGGCCCGGCCCGCTCCGGCCCGCGCTGGCCCGCGGTTCAAACGGGGCGGGCCAAAATGACCCGCATTTTTAC